TTTTGTTATATAGCTCACGATTCTAGATTTGAACGATAGGGCGACTAGTCAATGGATTTATAGGAAAATTCAGGTAACTAGAATTGACAATTTTTTACGTCCATAAACGTCCCTCTAAATGTACTTCGTACATCCCTCAACTGTTGATAAATTTCAGTAGGCTAGAGGTTAGCCAACTATGCCAACCCACAAAAGTCTGTTCACAAGATGTGATTTGTACTTGACGGGGATATAGATTTTCTTACAGTACACTGTTAAATTGATTTTGTACATTGATATTGGCTATGACAATGAAACTAATTGTAATAAGTTTGTAGAGGTTGGGGCTGACTAGAATAGTAGGCTAACTTAGTGGGCTGTAACTCTTTGGGCCTTAGTTTACAACCAGCCCTTGTCGGTTATGAAATAATTGTCATTAGGTAGGCCCCACTTACTCATTAAGTTTATAGATTTTCTCTGAAAAGAATACTTCATCAAGAAGCTTGTTTGTGTTTCTACGCTCAGCCGCCAGAAGAATCCCATCATTTGCAAGTATTCCGAGGCAAGTTCCTGCATGACTGATAGCCTCCATGGCATACTCCACTTGGTATAACCTTCCTGCATTAACAGAAATTAGTTTAACGTTTTTATCACTTATTATTAGATTGTCTTTGAAAAAAGTACTTATTGCAATGTAACTTACACCTTAATATTGCATGATACACTTAACATTGTTCCCGAAGAAAACAGCAAGCAATAGATGCACAATTTAAAATCTTGCACATCTTATCTAACCTAATCTTGATTTCAAAACTTGACTTAACCAAAACCAAAAATACCGGTAGGCCTACCTAAATTGTTTAATAGGCCAAACATCTCAAGAAAAACAATAACTCTTCTGAAATAAAGATAGGCTACAATGTTAATTACTAACTTAGTTTAGAATTAGGCCTACACTTAGTCAAAGTGGCAGAGTGCTTATTTCGATTCCATAAGCATCAACTATAGCATATAAGCATGTATTTAACTTATGCTTGTTTTTATGCAACTTGACAATGCCTATTCCGTTCTGTACATGGTCAATGGCAATTAAGTAGGGCCCATACTTATTCTTATATCCTGAAGACAAACAAACAGTTGCCTTAAGCATTTAGAAAGTATCAAACCTTGCCTGCAATTAGGTGAGGCCATATAACTTAATCAAACGGAACTTAAGTTACTATCATTATACTGGCTGCTGCTCTACATACTTTAAGATATGTTATTAATGAATAACGGCAAAACTTACCTTCCGGTGAGAATATTGTTGTTCTAGTATCATACCGTCTAGCCTGAAAACAAAATGTAGTATTCAGAGGTAGCCTAAGTTAAGTTAATCCTAGATAGGTATAGCCTATCCAATCCCTGACAGGCAGAACCCGCCATCAAAGCCAGGAAGAAAGGGACCACCAGCAAGCTGATGGGGGGAACCCCAACCACCTATTTACACCACTACCCGATCGAGGCCTTACCCAGTTGCTGGGAAACCAGAGGTGACCAAGGCGATAGATCCCTGAACACCCCCAGCGGGCTTTGAACCCAGCACCCGATCTACTTCGTTTGCCCGTCAAGCCCAACATCACTGCCAGGCCATCAGGGTTTCCCGAAAGGAGGCAGGAATAGAAGTGGGTCCCACCCGGATGAACCTATCCACCAAAGGTGGCGACACCCTTTGCTCAATTGATGTTCCACGGAGAACTCCCCACACTCTAGATAACCATACCTTCCAGGTCTCAGAGACAGGGATTGGCTGATGGAGTGCGCCCAGCCGTTGCCCTCACACTGCGGAAAGTTACGCTCCCCTAGAGTGTCCCCGTGAGCTTACGGGTACTTGCCTGATTTCACCTCCAGGAAAGGCTACTTCCAAAGTCGAGGATATGCCACACAGAATGCTGGTCGCACAGAGCAAGCAGGCCGAAGCCCAAAGAACCATAGTCACAGGTAGATGGGAGATTGATGGCGCACTTCCACCTCTCCGAGAGCTAAACACCCGACCAACCTGGATGGAGGAATGTCACTGGAGGCTCCCCCTAAGGGGCTGGCGCTTACCAGGCGTCCATGACTATGGCCTACTTGAAAAGCTGATACCAACACCGAGCAGTTACCTCCCCTTTGGGGGCATCCATGCATACAGCAAGGATTACTCTAGTATTCATTAGTTTTGCTTCAATTATGGTCGAAATATCACATGAATAAGGTGATTAAACTTCCAGGCCTGGCCAGCGATAGTGTCCTTTTCACTAGGGCTTTAGGAAGGGTCGTTTTTTTTTTTTAAAAGACCTTGGCTCCATATGTAATACAAATTATAAAGATGTGTAGCCTAGCCTGTCTATGTAGCATTTTTCCACATGATTTGAGTAGCCTAACAATAAGTTAGTTAAGTTAATTGGGTAAAATAATTAAAAGTTATTTATGAACCATTCTACTAAATGAACCATACCGATAGGTATTGGTTTGAATAACCCATAGGTAAGTCAAATTGGTTCAAGTAACTTAAACCTTTGTAACAATAAATTAAAAGTAACCATAGGATCAGGTTTAGCATAGCTTGTCTCATAAGATACAAACATAAATAATCCTAGTATTAATAACTCACCATTATTTGTATGTAAAGGAAACGTATACACTAACAATAATAAACCAGCAAACAACCACTACAGTAACTCAGTAGAATGTTGTGTTAAAAAAGTTAATTTTAGAGCTAATTCAAGTAACAATTTGACAAAATGAATCGGCAAGTTTGGTTGGGAAAATTTCTAACATAACCTAGTCAGTCACGACAAAATCATTAAGTGCATAGCATAACTATTTTCATGGCAACTCACAGCACACAGAGTAGCCTACTAGTTTTTATCGATAAATAAAATATAGCAGCATTGATTATAGAGTTATTCTTATTGGTCTTTTGTAAAAAAAACACCAATGGACCAATGGAATGATTAACTAGAGTTTCATCTTAGTTATTTGAAATCACTGGGTCAAATTTCAAATTGTAGCTGAGATTGCGATACCAAAATCGATCATGGATAATGAAAAATGTCTTATTTCTCATATGAACCACGGCCGCCTTTAACTCCGTGTATGAGCATATTAAAACATAACTCTTTTAGATTTTTTAGATTGTTGAACAATCTTTTAGATTGTTCCACTTTAGGGGTCAGCTATCGAAAATGGTAAAGTTCTTCATTAGCAGCAACTTTTTGCCATGAATACATGTTTCCCATGCCTTTGATGGATCCGTGGATCTCTCTGATTCATGAAGGTGAATACGAATGTGTATTCCCATGTCCATCCACAGTAAATAGGTTCGGTTTTAATTTTGCACTAGTGTGCTTTTGCTTAAGTAACACTACACGCTCATCATGCCTGAATTTCAATCTGTCAACTCATTATTAAAGAAGATATGATAACAAATATTTTATTTACCTGCCTCGTTTGAAGTTGAGGTCCAGTCCTGAAAAGCTGGTGAGTGGATTGCACTCAAGAGCATTGGCTCCCATAAGATCCATTTCGTAAGAATATACCTGGACAGGCGGTTAGCTCTGGGGATCGAAGTATAGGCAAAGTTTGAATTTCCTTTTTCTTGCAAGTTGACACTACATTGATCAAGTTTAGTATCCTAGATTATTGATCAAAATTCAAATAACACTGCTGCCTAACACGGGTTGGTTTGGTCCAAAAAAGCTCCGAATTAAATCTCTGCTAAGAGTTTAAAAACCTAAGCAAAAAAAAGGTGTGATAGAAGCAAAATGGCATAACTTCAAATGCATAAAATCTAAAAAAAGCTTTAGTATTTATGGCTGTATTAATAATCAGTTCAGACAGAATCGGTATTTTTATTCAACTACTATTGTCACACACTTCATATTTATTGATTGGGTTTATCAGATGAAACAAAGATTGAAGAGTTCAGGAACATTGAGCATTTTGGAAAAACCTGTGGATTGTGTGGGTAATTAATTAATTTTACTCACACAATTTGCTGGTGGTTTTCCAAAAATTGATTATATAAAATCAATTACTGTAATGTATTTCTAATATTCTGACAGTGACATTAAAACTGAACCTATACTCCTTTTTTGTGATTTTTTTTCATTACAAATGAATATTTATTGTAATTAATGTTAATTAATCAAATGTACTTTTATCCCATTATACTTAATTTACTAGCTGAAGCTGAACAATTATTTTTATAGTTAAAATACACATTTTTTTGACTAAAGGAATACAAAGGACTACGTCGTCGCGGGTTTCACACTTGACAGGGACCATATTGAATTAAATTTGCGTGGAAGAATTAAAGATTAAATGATTAATAACGTAGAAGATCAATACCATCAAAGATAAACCTTGAAGGAAACCTTTGAATACCGGTACCGTCAAAGATAAACCTTGAAGAAAACCTTTGAATACCGGTACCGTCAAAGAGATAAACCTTGAAGAAAACCTTTGAATACCGGTACCGTCAAAGATAAACCTTGAAGAAAACCTTTGAATACCGGTACCGTCAAAGATAAACCTTGAAGAAACCCTTTGAATACCGGTACCGTCAAAGACAAACCTTGAAGAAAACCTTTGAATACCGGTACCGTCAAAGATAAACCTTGAAGAAAACCTGTGGAGTAAATCTCCATAGCACAGCAACTATTTAAATGTCCCGCCTAGTCTCAACCCCAGAGCTGCTCGCGCATGCGCAGGGAGCAGGCGGGTAAAAGCAGTGAACCAACTCTCTGTCGTGTGTCTGTTGTGGTCTGCTGTCGCCAAGAATGGAAGGGTAAATTCGTTGGGATACGGGGGGACGCCCCCTTGAGGTATTGTGTCATAGTTATAGTATTTTAATATAAATATAAATAATAGATAAAATGATCCAATTTAATAATTTAATGAAATTTGATACAAACACGTAAACCTACGTGTATTCATTTGAAAGAGTTTGAGAACCAACATGATGGGACATTGGGAACTTATTTGGGTATTTTTATTGAAACATACTTACAAAGCTCTAACATATATATTTTATAGGGCTATTCTAAAACAATAATCTGTACAATCTTTGGCACAATATTAAAATATGGAATATATTCTCTGGTAATAATAATAATAAATATACTACAAATAACTATAGAATTATTACTAGTACAAAAGATAGTGACAGGTAAAAAAAAGCTTCTTCCCAAAGGTTATAAGAATAAAGTTAATGATTCAATTACATTGTCATAGGAGGTAATATGACAAAAATTATAGAACACTAAAAAGTGTGTGGACTTATAATTTTTTATGGCAGATGCTTTTATTATTGGACACTTTTTATTTTTAGCAATAACATAAAGCTTTGAGTTTAACGTCTCAGAGTCTTGAATAAGTCAAGTAGTACGATGTTTTCCAGATTTTCCCAATTTTTTTGACAGCTGCTAACCTGACATAAATACCCCTGGTTTTTCTTTTGGAAGGGTAACTTTATAAAATCCAAGATATTTACAAATTCATATTTTTAAGACCTATTGCAACATTCAACATCTCTCGAGTGCAGGTATTTGCACCAAATGTATAGTAAGATATTTCACTGAACAATAATTAAGTAATGTCTAATTTTTTAATAAAACTAAAAACAGTTTGGATTTTTGTCCATGCTATTAAAATACACTTCAAAGTACACACTGAGGACTTTGCTTAATCAGGTTTATATAAACAAGTAAATACTTCATGTGATATTCATGTCATCAAAATGTCATTATGTCATATTTATGTGAAGTAGGATACCATAATTCAATCAGCAAGCATTGTCCTTTAAGAGATACAATTTTCTAAAGAGTAGAATAATTTTACAAAAACCACCTTTTCTTTTGTGTTGAAACGTCATGTTCTATGCTCTAAACCTTTTAACTATTTTAGATCTGTAGTTTACTAATTAATATTTTGCATAGTAACAAGCTAATAAATTACCACCTCAACTTAAAATTGACTATAAACATTTATGGAAGACAACTCATTGTTTTGTTGTATCTTTAACTTAACTGTGAGGTTCTTTAATGGTTTTATTCCGCTGAGTCCACTTTACAATAGATACACGAGGCCATATATTATCTTGGCCCCATTGGGCTTTGCTTAATCCCGACATTAATATATACAGCAATTTAGAAACATTTCATACATTCAAGCTAAAATAGGTATTCTAGAGCTATTGCACATCTACAGCACTTGCAATACTTATTTTGAAGACATTTTATGTAAAAGGCAATTTGTTTTAAGATATCCAGGTGCTGATATGTTAAAATGCGCACCTAGGTGGCGTCTGCATCTCAATTGATAATGATAATGATAGGACTGTTGGAAGATTATTTTCTTAATATTAAGGATTTATTAAGATGAATTCATATCATTCTGAATTTCATAAACCCATAAAACTTTGAAATGCAAACCCAATTAGGCTGGTTTAATGATGAGTTTATTGTGTTTGAATTTCATCCTAAATTCATCCCTTTCATATAAATGAGACCAGTACAAATTAACCATAAATGAGATGTCTACGTTGCTATTTATAGTCAGTTGAAGTTTGAACTATAATAATATATTTTATTAATAATACTGTATGGTCACTTAACTTATAAAGAATGCAAAATGGTTAGTTAGGGCTATAGAGAAAAAAATAATGTAAGGGCTGAGTCACTTCTCTTAAAAAGTTTCAATCATTTCAATGGTTGTAACTCCAGTTTTAACACTGATTGGACAATGATATTATGATAATGATATATACGTTTTGTGAATATATTGTTTTTGTTTGTCTCTTGTAAACTGTTTAAGCGTGAAAGCATGTACGTTTTGCCTTTTGACTCCACGACACTTTAAACTACCAAAAGTACTAATTCACATAGTTTACCTACAAAAATATCGCAACAAAAATGTAAGCAAAGCTGTGTAAATTATGGTTGATAGGATCCAGCTGATCGTTTGTTGTGAATTGATTGGAAAAATCAACAAAATTAAAGCAACCATAAAGGTGAGCACCTATTAAAGAATTGCCCAAATGGAAAATTAGCTTCGTACACAACCAAAACTAATTGAGGAAACATGTTTTTATTCTATTATCAAAATAAGATAGGAGTGCTGTAGCCCTTACTTTATTTATTCTCTGTGACAATATGTGTGGTAATAAACCATAGGGCTCAACCCACCAAAAGAAAAAAAAATATTCCGTTGACTTCAACAAGTATGGTGAATATTTGACTTCCCTGTAATATACATTGAAGGGAAGAATGTTAATCTTGTAAGACTACAGAAACTTTATTAAATTAATGTTATGGTTGTATAGTCTTTGATTTACCATTTCTAGCTGTTATAATAATTGTTTGTGATTATTCCTGGCCTGATAATGCTTTTAATCTGACACTCTCAAACATATGATGCAAATGTAAACCAAATTTTATGAAAGATTTGTTTAAGAGATTACCAGAAATTACCTTTTATAAACATTACTCGGAATGAAGGATATGAACTTTCAAAAACCATAGTGTAGCATTATTGTATTAAAAAATCAGGCTTAAACAGGTAGTTGTTATAACTTTTTTTTATTGTTTGTTCAAACTTTGACTAAACAGAGTAATTTCTGACATTTCTTTGATATAAATACACCATGAAATATTGTGTCAGTGCCAAATGTAGCTGAGAAAATCCTACAACTAGGACTGCCTTGATTACAAGCATTTAATTTTCAGTTAGCCATTCTCAACGCGTACTATGACAAAGTAGTTAGATTTGAAGAATATATTTTACAATTTACAATGTTATTTAACTGGTCAATGCTCTTAAACAAAATTCTTCAACCCTGACAAACTTTGCTAAAAATACAACCATCGTAACTTATTTAGGTTATTTTGACTAATGCTAACTCCTTGTAGTCAATATCAACCTTCCCTGGAAGCACAACCTTCATGAGGAGGGAAAAAACATTTAACATCAGTGTCGAAGCAGCTGATTTCCCCGGCTACCTCTGCCGCTTCTGCTCCCAGAACTGAATGTCGCTCTGTATCTTTAATCTCCGAGGCGCAGGATGAGGGCAGGGGGTGGGGGAAACTGTGCCGCTGTCTTCAGACACGTGTCCCGAACTATCAGGCTCTCCTACGACCTAGGGAGATTAGATTCGATCAGATTTCTCAAAACAATAGAGCACATTTTAAGGTGAAGATTTATAGTATAATGGATGCTATGATAGGTTTGTCTCTGATCAAGAAGAGCTAGTTAGCCAGGGCTATTTATTAGCTCCAATTAATGACACAAATTGTATTTTACAGTTATATTATGCAGCACTGTGAAAAGAACACAATTGTTGAATGGAGCAATCTACTAAGTAAAAAAATTGCTGAACCATTGATTATTAAACATAATATTCATGTCATTCTTAATATTGACATATAAAGGTTTTTCAACAACCAAAACATAAAATGTTGTGACAAAGACCTTTCAGACCCCTATGGGTCTGAACTAAAAACAGGACTAGTAGTTGTTGAATTATTAAATGTTTCCGTTACCTTAACGACTGGGACTGTCGTTGAACCTCGTAAATTCTCCCGGAACTCTCGGGATATGTTTCTGGCTGTTAGACTGTGGACCTGCAAACAAAAACGTATCCTTTTAATAGATATGGAAGAAAGTTGCACCGAGTTGAAAGTAAAAAAGTGTTATTCACTACTATTATGAAACAGATATACTATATGAAATAAAGAATACCTAGATATTTTTTATTCGTTGAAAAATTCAATGACTGAGATTATCGATAGCTCTGAAACTGTTTACAGCATTATTCTACACTATGTACAGTATTGCAGCTCTAGCAAGTTTTGTAATGTAATTGTGCAATTCAATGATATAGAGTTCATAACTCTCTGAAAAACAAATGTAAATACTATAAAACTAAAATTAAACTTTATTTACCTTTAAAGCTATTTTAAATTTTCTGCCCAGTAACTTACATCGAGCACTACTACAGTCAGTTCATTAACAGATATTTAAGAAATGAAGATGAGAGTGTAACAACATGTTTGAGTATTTAAAAAATAAAAAAAGACAGTTAAATTATTTTTAGAATAAAATGACCAGAATAAAATCAGCAGATAATAGTCAACAGACAGAGATAAGATAAGATTGAATGGGAAGAAGGAAAAGATTTAATGTCTGAATGAAGACGAATTGGGATGAAAGATTAAGGAAAATGTGAAGAAAACCACTAAAGCGGTCTGAAGACATAATAGATAAATATTTAAAACAATTGAAAAATTACTTACTTGTCTGATTGGAGAGTGAAGTCTCAGTTCTGGACCTTTTCTTACAGGCACTGGAGAAGTAGGGATAGGAATCTGTTAAAATAAAAACAAATAGATAAAATATGAAATTACAAATTTAAATCAGTATATTACTGACTTTTAGATCATTCAATCTTTATTGATCTGGCCAATATATCCTTTTGAAAGTGTTCACAGGTTGTGTTAACATTACCTTATCGTCAGGCGTAGAGAACTGTTTAGCCAACTGTCTCACAGACGGTAATGATATGTACGATTGATCATCAGGTGTAACAACCGCTGAGACATGGTGAGCCGAGGTTTGTGTTACAGTTGGCGCTCCTGACACGGAACAGTTCTTGGAAACTGCAACCTCTACTTCCACCTTGACAGACACCTGTGATTGAAAAAGTTGATTAAAGTTTTAGCAAATTGGAGCAAAATATTGCTTTGTATTCGTTTTCCTCCTTAAGGGGAGATTGGAGAACCAAGTGTTTATAAAATATTTTAATTTTATCCCACACGAGTTCAGAATCTTCCAATTTATTATTTTTGGAGCACATCAACGTGAACGTAAGGGAAATGAGCCTCTAACCGTTTGTAACCTTTAAGCGAAAGGCTTGAATTTGGTCTGAAACAACAAATCAGTGTTCCAAGTATATTTCCTTGTAATAAGCTTTGTCTCTAAGTTTACTGATTGGTTTCATGAAAATAACAGTTCCTGATTTGATTTTTATTGGTGTTAGTTTATTCGTAACTTGGCATACATCGTAGTACTAAATTTCCGTACGAAATTATATAATTGTGGAGATTACATATAGTACTGCAGAAAGGTGGTTGTGTTTTTCAACATTGAATTTGATTAGTGAATCACACATTTCATTTCATCCAAATAAACTAATTTTACCTAGTTTTTTTTATTCAAAATATTTTGTTGTGTAAGTATTTAGTATGTAGGTATCACTTCTAATTTTCATACTGTTATAGTTAATGGGAGCGAGCTGGTGTAGTGTTTAGAACGTTAGGACTTCGGTCCGTGAGGTCCCGGGTTCAAATCTTGCCAAAACCAATGGATTTTATCTAAGTGATAATGCTGCAACCCCTAGGTCTAGCCTGAAGTAATGTGAAAAAACAATCCCGGGCTCGTGCCTAGTGTCCTAGGAAAAAAAACTGTTATAGTTAATGGAAACCTAAACGATGCTATAAATTAAAAATTTCTCTAACATTTTTGCCTGATTGTTGGGTGTTTTAAGAAAGAAACTGGCAATTTACAACACGGAACTCTGCAGTTTTATTTCATTCAAGGTTGGTTATAGCTTAACGAGTGGAATGTCAAACTTTGCGGCAGAGAATGTATTTAATATTTTACCCACCTGTTGTTGTGAACAGCTGTGAGAAGGTGTTCGAGGCTCCGTGGACGCAGGTCTAGGTGGAACTTTGGTTTTGGCGACCTGCAAACAAAGAGAGGGTCGGCATCTAATGACCCACTTAAGTTTCTGTTTTGGAATCAAAATGTTGCTACGCCTTGCAAGGAACAAATGTAATATTTCACAACAATTTGTCATTAACAGACAACCAGCAAAAATTGAAAGGCTTTTAATATTGTCTATTTATTATCATTATGGGTTTGAGGGGACAGAGTTATGAAAAATTAAACTTTTGACATCTATTTCATTGGCTTATAGAATTTTACATATAAACTTTGAAACAAACGATACATTTAAATGAGCATCTCTTATGGAGTATGAGTTGATAAAAAAGAGATATTTACTAATACAAAAAAAAAAACACTTAATTTTTATTGGTATCTGAACTATACTATTGTAGTAAATTTGATCAAAGTCAATACCAGTACAAAAAATAAAGGTCTCTTACAACTTCTGAACAAAAAATAAATAATCGACTGCACTGCTATTTTAAAAGTGTTGTGGATTACAACTAATTTTCATTTGTTCAAAAATAAAACAGAAAGGTAATCCGAAGTTGGAAAATGTATTTTCATTTGTACGAAATTTTGCACCTCTTATATGGTGATGAATATTTTTGCCAACAAAGCAAATAATATTTACTGTTTTCATGCAAGACAAACAATGAGACTTTAAATAGTAACGTATTGGATTAAGTATATTTATTAGTATTCAAATTGTGGTATAAATTTGTATAGAAAGTGAAATAAACTTTGGATACTGTTAGTAGGTTTCTCGCTCTAATGTGAGTTCTGGACTCTTCTTTTATTAGTTTAATTCCAGGTTACATCAATCTAATATTTTATTTAAGTGAAATTCAACAGTGTGCAGTTTCTCTTTTATCAGAGGAGAAACGGTTGTTTGTGAATTGATAATTTTATTCGATTAGAATAAATTTAAAGTTATTGAAATAACAAGGAAAAAAGTTGATAGTAAACTTCAAATCACATTCTACATCGGTATATTACCAGACAGCAAAGTTTGAAGTTTTAGGGCGTTTGTGGTTCTATAGATTCATAAGGATGAAAATCTTTAATGTTTAATCTTTAGGAATACAGTAGAACCTTTTTAATCCGAACTAATTGGGACCGGGGGTAGTTCGGACTATTGAATAGTTCGGATTACAGAACATATTATTGTTTTTACTTAATAATAGCTAGGGAAAAGTGAAAAATACCTAATAAAGTAAAATACAATGTTTATTAAATACAGTAGTAAACATAGGGAATAAACAGTAGGCCTACTGTCCATTACAATTGAAATAATTATGGTGCGTATACCACAAATACAGATTACAATAAAGAACTACTGTAGGCCTACTGTGTATAGAGTAAAGCAACGAGGCGTTTGGATTAGTGGACGTTCGGATTACAGGGGTTCGGATTAAAGAGGTTCTACTGTAATTGCTATACAAATTGAGTATGCAAAGTGGTTTCAAAAAAAGTGAAGTTTAAGTGCAACAATCCACATTTCCAGCTACTGTATACAGGACTAACACATGCCTACAGCTACTTAATAAGCGAGAAAGCGAGAGACAAATTGGCTTGTCCAAGTAAAAATTAAGTAACTTATTTATTATCATGCACTGGTTTGAGTAGGTTTACCTGCCGATGATTGCCTCAGTTCAAAAACTCATTGATGAAAACTGAACAATGGTATGGTTAAATGTCTTGTGATAAATTTAATTTAATTGAGACTGCAAAACATACCTTTACAGTGAAACCAAAACTGGAAGAAGAATCACCATTAGAAGCTTTGTTTGAGAAAAAGAGCTATAAAACATGCTCTTCGTGTTCAAATTACATTCAAATTATATTGCATGAAAATATCAATCATAATATTACATTAATTTCTCGAAATTAACCCGTATTCTCTTGCACATCAGACGTGAAAAATTGTTGTTTGATTTTTAATTAAAATTTGTAACACTGCTATTGATATTCATATTCAGAGAGTTTATTAAAATAGGGTGCAATGTATCGTCATTACAGCAAAATGAATCCTACACGAATATTTGTCTACCATTGTGCTATTTGCATGGATAAATTTATATGTAGACTAAGTTTCTGCTATTTACATTTAATATCAACTTACAAACAAGTTTATAATATCTAGAAATTTTTATTAAAAAATTTACTTGAACAAGCCGTAAGGCAAAAGACAAAACAGACAGTTTAATTGGACAATAACAACTTTATTGGCTTAGTTAAAGCTACATACAGGTAACATATGTTTTGGCTATACTATGTACAAACAGGAGCATGCACAAAAATCACTATTCATTGTGCAAAATAGTATTGGTTTGAGCAAAAGATCGTATACAAAATGTGCATTGTGTTAAATAACGTGTACACAGTTATACTGTATAGATTAAAATATGCTTAGTATATATTTTTTAAGGTTTCCTCAATATCTTTTTAATATAAATAGATCATTAAATTCATAATTATCTTAGTAAAGTTTTAAATTCACTCAAAAATAACATATAAATTAACTTATTATTTTAAATATAAGTTTTACTATTTATTTATTAGTAGATTATTCTGAGTTTAAATTAAATATAGAATATAGGTTAGTAAAAATATTAAAATAAATAAATAGACACAAAGGTATTTAAGTTATCTGGAATAATAAGTTGCCGTAAAAATAATTAAAAAAATTATATCACAGAAAGTGCAATTGCAAATAGATTCAATACTACATAACACTGTGCATTGAAAGTAAAGGAGATTCAAGAAAGTGCTAAGAAAACTATCACGTTTTAGCATTTTACTTGTATAAAAGTAATCGTTTTTTATTATTATTTGTGCTATCACTGAATACCTAAGGCTTCCCTATACCTTTTTTGTAAAACTTTAACCGAGATTTAAACTGTTCGCTGGTACACAGTCCAAGAGGTGAAGCTTACAGAATAATTTTGTACAGCACTTCTGTTGGTTTCTAAAAATAATTCACAACCTAATGACTGATTCGTGGAACAGAGCCTTGAAGGAAGTTTGTTTTTAATTTATGCCTTGACGCTTTATAGATGTTAAATACATGTTGACAAAGAAATTCAACAGAAATTGTAAAAATACATAAAGTACCTACTAAACTGTTATGGTAGAAGATTTCAATTATTCTTTTGTAGTGCGGTGGTATTAGTTTGAATTTAACTGATAGAAAGTTATTTATAAAGATAAAATTTAATATAGAATAGGAATAAAATTCATAGACGATGGAGAATACAAGTTCTTAAAGGATTGAATTTGAAGTAGATTACACAATAGAGCTTGAACAATTGAAATTATATCAAGAAATGAAGACGAATAAGTCAAATAGTTTTATATTAATTTACTCTACAGGAAAAAATCAGTAGATTATTTTTGTTGTTTTTACTGTTGTGCATATTAATAACAAAAAAGAGATTTATGTCAGTAAGTAAGGTTCTCTCTTCCGGTATGTCAGAATTTATAAACTAAATTTTGTTCAAAGAAAAAGAGATTAAAAAGGTAAAAAATACCGGTAGCCTAAGGCGACAAAATAAGTGATTTCTAGGACTCCATAAACACATATATTAAATATCAGGAATAATTATTGGGATGGATTAATGTACAGGAGGCAGGAATATTGAATAGGATGCAAGATCAAGTATCCTGAAGTTTTAATTGAATATTATTTATTGGGGTTATGTATTTTATTTCTTTTAATACAATGCACAGAAATTACTAAGAACGTTCATAAGAAAGGATTCTTTTTATTTCAATATTAATTTTAAATAATAGTTACAACTGTGTTATTTACAACAAAATTCTTAATTTACAGTGCCATCGCTTGATACAGAAACTAAGAGAGTAAAACCCCATCTCCATTGCAAGATTCAAATTTAATAAATTCTTTCCAACTTTAAAATTTACAACTCTAAAATTTTGAAATAAGCTAAGCTAGTTTTGACAAAAGTTTGAAGTAATGTAGCGCTTCAACAAACTGCTGTCAGCTAAATATTTCTCTCTCAGTTTAGATTATTTTAATGCTTACAGTGGCAAATGTCAAGTATTACCTATTTCTTGTTACGGTATTCAACTGACTCGTCAATAATTTTGAATGCATTGCAGTAATAGAGCAATCCAAATTCCTGGAATATTATAACCCAACCAACAGAGTGGCTTACCCGGTAGATTGATTGCTGAAGACGTCTGAAACTTTGGCCACATGAAAGACACGGTTGTCTTTCAAAGAACAAGATGCAGTCAAAGAGAAATCAATTAAGTTTATATTACTAGTTTAGGATGAGATTTTACTTTCAGTATCCAAAGTATTCAAAGTAATACAAATATAGTTTACCTACGACCGTTTTTTAAAGTAGCCATTTCAGTCCAGTTCTTAGAATTGAAAAGTTTCACTTTACAGCTGTTTACTTTCATATCCGCATAGTTTCATTTCACATCCACATAGTTTTCTCATATCCACACAGGTAACGGACCAATGAGGTTCAAGTATTGAGAGAAAAGAATTAAAATTGTAATGCTTCGAACGTCAACTAATCAGCTGATCAGCTGATCAGTTGACCAATTTAATTGTTGATCCGACTTGTTCATGTTGATACTCGCGTATTATTAATTAAGTTGGTGGAAGTCCAAAAATAAATGAAATATTTGCCAAATTGTACCTGATACAATATTATTTATGGTAAGAATGCTGCTAGCAATGTAATATTTAACGAAGTTTAACAAACATGTAATTACAGGAAATCAGCTGATTATACAACAAGTCATTGCATCACTTTCAGTGGCAATGACCATACACGAAAATATAACCTCTCTAAAAAGTTATCAGTAGTGATTGTTAGTAATTAAATCCAGATTGATAGTAATTAAAAAACGGTCGTAGGTAAAGTAGTGTACGCAACTCGCGTTAATAGTCTTTACGACACTCGTAGAAGTTTTTAAGGCACTCGCCAAGGCTCGTGCCTTAAATTTTCTACTCGTGTCGTAAAGACTCACTTAACGCAATCGTTGCGTAAACTACTATTTCAACTGTATTGTACATCACAGTTGTTCCGTATCCACCTGAAATCCTTAGCAACATACAACTAACCATGCAGTGAATTTCAATAGTTCAAGCTCTACTGTGTATATTTACAAATCAGTGCAAGTGCAAAATATAATATTTACAAATATACAGTGTTTCTATCACCACAAACTCGACTGTGCGGATCTGTCAATCCGGAAACTCTCACTCAGCCTAGTTTTCTTCCGGGACTTTCCCTCTTTCCGGAGGCGAGGGAGTGAGAGGAACATTCGCTCAACAACCTCCGGAGTGGGGGGCGGAGCCAACCGAACGCTTTCGCTAGCTAGAGAGTCTAGCGAACTAGCGTAACCTGACTCACAATGACTACTGCGATGCAATGATTTTGGTAACTTCTTCTTTTCTTCTGGCACTTCTTCGTACAATGGGTTCATCTTGAAATTCGGACTTGCTCCGTTTGCCCTGAGAGCTACTTGGGCCACTCCCCCCCGCAATACTTGCCCCTCAAACTCTACTCCACTTACCTCCACTCCTTCCCCCACGTTGACATAGTAGTCTCGAACATATCTGGAACACATAGAAAAATACTGAGAAACTTTACTTCTATTAGATTTAGATTTAATGTTCGGATTTTGATTTTAGGTAAGATTGTGCTGATGTCAGTAGTTACCGATTTCTATTTTGTACAGAGACTTTTCAACCAGTGCCATTCAACTATTATCTAATGAAATGAAATGACACATTTCCTAAACTGGTTTATCTAGATGAGATGTCTATCCTCCAAAAGTCAATTTCATATAATGATATACGAGCTGTTGGTCCGTCCTACGTACGGGAATCAAGTATACCATTAAAACTGATTCAGGCATAGTTTAAGCAGTTCAAAATTGATAGTAAAGAAAAAGCTTCCAAGAAGAGTTAAAACATGTGATCATTGTTATTTCCCCAACCTTTCCTCAAAAAGTTTATTGGTAAAATAATTTTCATAAGCTTTCTTTTGAAGATTCCTGAGCTTCGATTCTTGCTTGATATACAGCAATTGTTATAGAATCTTACTTATTTCCTATAATCAATGACAAAATCTCAGAGTAAAAAAACTAACATCACAAATCTATAGAATATTTTTTATTCAACAAGCTGTTAGTTATAACAGATTATATTTCACTAAAACTAACTAAATATTTTAAAGACTACTCAAAAAATAAATTAGAACATCTATTATTTTACTATGTATAAACTCTCATCCTCTTACCGATTAAATAAACGTATCAATGGTTATAGGTTATAGCATTACACATATTATAAATAAGTAAATTCTACGTGTCATTTCATTTTCATCCAAAAGCTGAATTTGTGTCGAAAAACGCAGAAGGTTAACAGCTGTTATTATACCAAAAGCTAGAGTAGAATGTTAGCGTCGGCTGCTAGACTTTTTAAAATTTTAAACTTAATTTCCAAAAAACTGAAACCCTAAACTAAAATAATGGCTTCGACATTCCCTCAGAATTATCTTTCTTTCAACTCAAAAATCATGAAAATCCGTCAAGTGGTTGATTCAGAATCGTGAAATAAAAAAACCCTATCACGTTTTAATATTATAGATGGCAGAATGACTAACAGAAAAATGGAAGAAACCTTTCAGTGCGGTGATGAACAGTGTGGATAACGGTACAAACCATCTGTGTGACATTAAGGGCCAGCAGCATGTCTAAGGAGAACAAGAAAGAAGTGGAGGACCCTTAGAGAATTTAAAGATGGCGCTGGAGTACCAGATTTTATTAATTTATTATATAGCATTGATTATATTTAATGTTAACTGTTAATTGATATTAAATTTCTTCACAGAGATAGAATTTCATATAATGATTTAACGAGATTTGGAAGAAGAAATTAAAAATGAGTAGCAGCTTCTACTTGTTAGGCACCAATTTTAAGGATTTGTGTATTCTATGTATCTGTGTATACCTAAGTTAAAGATAAAGGGAGAACTAACTTGTTGTAATCCTGCCGTCGGTGTTTGCTGTCAATCTCTAGCAGAGACGGCTCCTTGCTGCCTGTGAGCTCAGGAAACTCTCTGTAAAACACCCAACATTGACTACAAGGTAAGTGAAAACATTACGATTGTATTTTTTATTTTAGATTAGGTTTATAAAAATTTAAAAACACCTGTATATCAAGCGCTTTTCAAGTAAAGTCAGAATAATGCAAAGCTTCAAGGAGAAAAGGGTGCTTTGTACATAAGACAGGATTTTTTCTGATAGAGCATTTTCCAATCACCAATGGCAAAATGCCATGACTTGTTAGCTGAGCAATAACACTGAGACAATCTAAGCCACGGCATCTTATGATGTTAAGGGGACATAAAAACCCGTCTTACATGGAATTTTCACTGCTACTATGTCTACTAAGGTACATCCGCTGTCGCTGTCTCCTCGCTATATTCTCTGTTGAGTAAGGGTTGTTGGCGAGGGGAGGAGCTTTCTCCCACTTCAGGTGTTCTCTCTCCGCTATCGTACCTGCAAAAAGAACGGAAATTAGTTTTAATTTACCACTGCCATGCTCCTATTCTGGTTTTGAATGGTTACCTCGCAGAAATTGATTTAAAGAAACTATCACCGAATTGTGAAGCTCAATGAAGCATCTTGGTATGATGAGCCAGAGGTTGCTGGTTCGAGACCAGACGTCTGTAATATCTTATCACTATGCATTCAATGATGGTTTGTCCATTTGGTTTACTGTTATAATGATCACTCTTCAGATAACTGCATGTATCAATATTTTAATTTATTATTACTAGCAATTTAAAATAACTTTCAAAAAGTGAATTCTGTCAAATTTTTATAGTCAGAAAAAATTTACCTGATGGGTTTATAGAAGGAATTGTATAAAACAATAAGATTGCTATCAATTTACTAAACTGAAAATATAATCTGTCATGTAAATAAGGAACTTTAAGTTTACAAAAGTTTCAAAGTTTAAAACAACTTACATATGATTGTGCAATAAGAGTTCTAAATCCTTCACATAAGTAATTAAAAATTTACTTTTTTTCAAAGATGTAAATATCGAAATGAAAAAAATAATAAACCGGTATAAAAAATCATCCTGAAACTCTTTTCCTTCTTGTAAGACAAAAAGCATAAAACAATAAGGTACTTTCCTGTTAAAGGGAACATTCATTATTATCGATGATGTTTTCGATATATCGATACTTTTGTTTTCCGATCCATTACACATTAACAACTGATCTTGTTTAGGCTAAAATAGTCTATTATATGGATTAAGAAATGAAACCGTTCTAAGCTAACCTAACATAACCAACCAAACTTGCTGTACCATTTAAAAATTCCGTTTGATAACAGAAAAGGCAAGTTAAACACGGAATTTTTAATGTTACACAGCAAGTTTGGTTAGTTATCTTAGGTTATTTTTTATAACAGTTTCATTTCATTATCGTTTGTTGATACTGAACAATATTTATCGTAGTTGTCAGCTGATATGTTTCAATTTTTTAATATCGATATATCGAAAGAAAAAATCATCGATAATAATGAATGTTCCCTTTAACAGGAAAGTACCGGTACCAACAATAATATTGCCATGATCTTCTAATACTATTGAAGTCTCTATTATTGATCAGTTTTACGATAAAACAAGTAACTTAAGCAGGGTGCTTGCATATCAGGTGGTCTCATTGAATAACCTCTATATAAATGATATTCCCATGAAATCTTTAGAGATTTTATTTTATTTGTTTGACATTATTGTAATGTTTACACACCTGGCTTGGGTGGAACTGATAATTCCAATAAAGACGAGGTTTCATTGTCTTGGATTTCATCATGACCAGTAACTTGCTTGGCTTGAACCTCCGTCGTTGAGCTCTCCTCTTCATTGTCTTCCGTTATTTCACTGTTTGTTGAGGTAGACTTGACAGATCTTGAAAATATTTTGAATTTTAATTCCAAACAATTTTAATATTGTAAAAGAAAATTATAATTTTAAAATTAAAAACATAAGAATATTATTTTAATCAGTAATTTATAAATTTTTTAAAGTAGGTAAATATTACGTGAGCATATACGTTCAGAAAATAAAATATAACATAAACATAATGAATAATCCTAACAAAAACAGAGTAATTTTAAAAGAACCAATCATAAATTGGCATTTAAACCAGACAAATGCTTTGAGTCCAAAACAAAACTGAGCGAAGGAAAAAAAAAACTGGCAAGCAAATAAAAGAATAACAAGTTTACATTGGCATCTCTATGTAAAAAAATAACAATTTTTCATACTTTTCTTGTCTCAGTAACCCGCATCTATTATCTATACTCTAATATTGTGATGTGCACTTTAATTGGACATTCAAAAGAAGACATCACTTTAACTCTAAATTTAATTCCCCCATGTGCTATTTTTTTAAACATTATCCTCTATGGAACCATGTATGCCCCTCCCCCACCCAAATGAAACCCTAAGTAACATGGAATAACAACCCAAACAACATGTTACTAAACAGTCTGTGGTGTAATATGTTCCCTGCAAGTAACAATCAACCAACATATGCTATTAATATGTAACAGTCTGTGGCGTAACATGTTCCCTACAAGTAACCAGTTCCATACCTAGGTTTAGGCACAGGTGACGGCTGGGGTGTAGGGGTAGGTGTTGGAGACGACCGAACTTGCGCTAAGGTCGCGTAAGCTACGGTGTACTCTCCTTCTTGCTGCATATCAAGCGATCCCTCGCCTATTGACAAACATAGAGTAATAGCAATTAAAGATGTTTCTTTGACAAGTGTTTAAGACAAAATGTACTTAAATTAATTAAAAATTAAGAACCATCTAAAATGTTAAGATATAAAATAGAAAAGTGTAACTATTCACTTTTAGTCATTTGGGAACGAGTTGCGATGGTTTAACACAGACCTGAATCAACTTGTACCAAAGGTACGCTGATGTTCCTTGCCTCTGCCACACTATAACTTTTGGAGCTTTCAGTCTCTATAGGAGAACCAGCTGATCCACTTTGTACAGAAACAGCTGATTTCACTTCATCACTTGACCTGTCCGTATCAGCTGATTGTGTTTCCTCATTCTTAGGCTGAAACAAATATAGCTTTTCAATAACTTTTTTTAGATTAAGTTATCAATTTAATAAGATTTTTTTCTTTATGCATTAGATCAAGATAAAATATTTCTAGTATTTTCTAGTGCAGCATTGATAACTAAGCAATACATGTACCGGTAGTCAATTAAAAATAGGCTACACAGTGATCGTACAGCTAAAACAAAAATGGATGAGTGGGATTCATGTCGATGCAGGCTTGTTTTGTACCCATCGGTACTTCCAATCAGTTGGACTATTTTCAATTATCAATCATTGGGTTGGGGACGCCACCTATTTGCATATTTTAATCCAAATTTGAGCGAAGGAAGAGTGTAGAATGGAGTGTGATGATCTGTGTGGCTTACTGACTAAGATCAGCGGTTTCATAAGTCAGGATCATCTATTTAAAGCCCAATGTTCAGTGGCTAGTGAGTATGTTGGTTTATAAAATGCCAGATCATCGAGATAATACTTAATTAGTTCACAATACACGATTATACCATACCACTCAACAGTTCAGAGATGAATGGAGGTTACCTCAACGTCATATCCTTGTTCTTCTCTCTGCCCAGTATCAGGCGACATGCCTCGGTGGTGCTGAGGAGCTATCAGCTTGTTTAGATCATCACTGATGTACTTCAAGAACACTTCTCGCTCTTTCTCCTTTACCTCGATCGGTTTCTCTTCCTCAGACTCGTCTTCAAACTGACTTTCAAAATACTTTTTGTCGTCTGAAACAACAAAAGCTGAATTTAGGGGATTTGTAAAAATAAGAGTATCACAGTATTGTTGAGATTAAAGTATGGTTACCTTTTGTGGTAAAAACAAATTCACTATTCCAAAATAAATAGAATGAGACCCTTTTCGGATAGTAGGATTGTTTTTTCTATGGTATCCATCAAATGTGGGTTGGAGATTAACAAAAAGCTTGACAATGTTCAAAAATCAAAAACTATTCAAATACAAAACACAAACTTATAAAATTGAAGAACCAAATTTGTTGAATATTTTATTCAATTTGACACTTAAATGCAATAGTCTCACCAGGTCCGTCGACTAAGTCCTCAAGAACACTGTCACTGCAGTCACTCAAATCTGACATTTCGTCTGCGTCGACATCTCCGATCATGGCACGAAGGTCCTACACACATAATGACAAGCATATCAAACGAGTAGGCCAGAATGAAGTTAAAATGAAGCATACATAGAACGTCAGATGCAAACTAAGGGTCTAATTGTCTTAAAGATTTAACTTTAGTACTCACCGTGGTAGGGTGAGGCACCAACATAGGTACAGGTACAGGTTGACAAGTCCCGACGTTGGTTTTTAGTTTGCGTCGCTGAAACAGCCAGTTTTCTTCCCACGAGTCGACAGGGTTTACTGCTATAGAGTCCGCAGTTGTTCTTCCCTCCTCTCCTCCATCACTCTCGTCTTCTGCTTCCTCCGACGACATTCCACCTGCGTGAGTTAATTGTGTTAGATTTCAATGAGTCATAAGCCAGGGTGTGAGCTTTTAGGCAAAAATGAGTGAAGAATGAGTGTTAAAGGGATATGATAACTTTGTTATGGGTAAGATCAGCTGGTGATCCAGACCAACATAACAGCTGAATGATCAAGAACAGCTGAATCCATAAGTTTAAAACCATCAAAAAGCTACTGAAATTTCTCAGATTTTTACTGGGGATCTTTAGCACTGTAAACAAACACACATAATAGTATCTTAGCTATATTTAAAACATACACATGTAAGTCCTGTCTTTTGTGAAAAAGGTTTTTTAGTCTTACATTCTATAGTCAAAGACACACAGCAATCACATACTCACGGTTAATTTGGCATGTTCAAACTAAATTGAAAAGCGAAATTGAATTTGTTTTGAGAGCTAATGATGTAAAGCTCTCTCTTAATAGTCTCACAGATTACTTGAACAATGTTTAACAAAATAATATTTCAACTTTCTTCTACAGTACATTTTCATTGAACAGCAGGTTTCTTTAACACAGTATCCCAAATGCTATAGAATTGTATACATATTTTTAGATATAGAGTCTTCTAGATTGAAACAAAAGAACCCAAGTATATGTAGAAATTAAATATTTACTCACCATCGACAACATCCTTGCCAAACTCCGGGAATGGAGCTCTCTGCCTCTTAATATATTGTAGACTGGACAGGAACCTGTCGAGCTCTGTCTTTGGTTCCTCCTCGTCAGAACTGTACCTTGTCGTCACCTCTTCAATGCACTCCTCAATCTGGCAAACAAAAACCAATTGATTGGTGAACTCTTTGAAATTTGGATACTGAAATATAGATCTTAGATCATATAGATCATTTAGATCCCATCTATATGGACAGGCTGTTGACAATTTCTTACTAAAAAGGAACATAAATCTGTGAGCTGGTCACAGATTGCACTAAATGTCTATGATTCTATTTTCTACCTTATTTGTTGTTACTGTAGTAGTTGACGTGATTTAAAAGATATTACAGCGTACAATGAGCCGTCCTATCAATTTGACTCTCTTTAAAAGTCAGCATATTCAACAGAAATCGGTAACTTAGATCAGCACAATCTGTTGGCGGCTCTCTTCAACTATGATATTCATTTTTATTTAAAAACTGGTGAAAACTTTGACATGGGGATGGAATATATATTTTTATCAATAATCAAAGTTGTAATCTATTAGTTGTTGTAGATTATGACACTATTAAGTTGTGTGTTGGCAACATTGATGTATGTATTGCTTGAGATAGCTTGATCAATATAAATTTCCTTTAATTGATGGAATTTTCATCCTCACAGGAAAATTTTTGTAACATCAGTCCAATTTCCAACCAGTCAAAACATGGTGGTCATTTTTTCTACCACTAATATGTAGCGTTTCTTTTCAATACCAGTTGAAGATTTTATGTTTAATCTGTATTTTCAAACAATAATATGTTTTATTTTTTAATTGACATAAGGAAGCTGGTTTTGAAATCAGTGTTGTGTTCAAAACCAATATGAGAGTATGTGAGTTTCTTCACCTGAAATTGTTATTCTTAAAGTCGCGTTTACACAAAGCCAGGAGAGTAGGCAGGTTACTTGCCTCTAATGTATTTAAAATTATCTAAGGCAAGTAACACCTGCCCCTTAACCTGCCTAATATATACTGGCCTCGTGTAAACGTGGCTTAAGTAAAACTAAATCAATGGGAACAAAATCAAACACATGAATATAGTTTGAAAAACAAACGGTTTTAGTTTGGGCATCTCTTAGAAACATAGAACAATATCAAATTTACAAACACTTATGAAACGTCCTAGGATGTTATACTAATACATAAATGCAATTTTAAATACCTTCTTTCTTCCCTCCATATTCTGAATAGCAGGCATGAAACGCAAAAAAAAATAAATACCCAACAAAACTGTAGACTAAGTGAATTCCTACTGTTCCACATAGTTCTTATTCAAACAAAACTCATAATACAAATAAATTTATATCTTCCGAGTCAACAATAACATAAATTAATGAAACAGCTTTGAAGAGCTTTGACAAACGGAAGGATAAATGTCTCATATTTAAGGAATGTTATGCTCCGAACAGAATAGAAAGAGCCAAGGCAAATAAATCAAACAAGAAAAATGTTTTTCTAATTGAATTTCATTGAACTATGAAAAAAAAATCACTTAGTTACAACGAATTCCCATTAAGTTAATTATTCTTTTAAAGTACCGGTATTAGATTTTTTTACAAAATCTTTGTACACATACCGTTACTGACAAAGGTTCGTGATGACTAGATTCACTCCAGCTGTTTTCTTCACCAGAGTTGGCCAAACTGTCGCTGTCTTCTGATTGAGAGTCAGTCCTACCAACAGCCTCTTGCATAGTGGCTGTGAGAGAAACGTTTAATTCACAACATGTTTCTAGGCTTCAAACCACAATAAAATAAAATAGGCTATATTCAATGGGAGTATTGATGAATTAATGAATTGCGTACTTTATTCTAGTGGTATAAATAACAAAAATTAATAAAACAAAAAATATGCAAATATGAGAAATTAGTAGCAAAATAAATAAAGTTAACCTCTTTCACCATATCACCCAAAAACAAAAAAAGTTCTAAACATCGGTTGGTTTCTTTATCGCATTACAAAAAACATAAGCAATTCATAGTAATCCTGGAAAAATGTATTGAATTAAAAGGTTAATTTAATATTCCAGTATTCACTACATTAAGACTGAAATAGCTATGAAAGCATAGAAGATATTACAAAAAATGACTGCTACTAAACTTACTAACTACTATAGATCTTACTAACCTGTCAATTTAGTTGAAAGCAGGTTACTATTTCTATCAACAGTCTTTTCATGTAACCTCTGCCTTCGTCTAGGTCTGTCTCGTTGATATTTGGAAAAGATCTAAAGAAAAAGTAAGTTTAGAAACTATCACATTTATTACAACAAGAATTCGTAAACTAATAGGTTTAAAAAGATCCAGTTTGTCTTTAAAAAAATTAATTGTTTGTAGGAATTTGAATAACGGTGCCAGTATTGACTGCAGAAAAAAAATTAGCAAAACTAATTGATGGAATGCTTCTGAACCAACTAAGCAACAGCTACTGAATGGGAGAGGGTGAAGCCATAGAAATACTATTGAAGCCATGCAAGTTTGTCCACAGTATTTCCCTCTATTTGCTTTTTTTTCTCTATCTAAATTCATAACTGAATTTCCAGTCCTTAGCCCTATCATCACTAAAATAGATCTTTAGATTTAGTTAACTACTAATCACTATTTAAGTAGTGGTATTTGCTTGCATTATTGATTTGCTCTAAGACTGTTTACCAGTGCAAGTGATCCATTAAACATTGGTTTTTTGTAAATAAGTCCAGATATATTAAGGGACTTTTAACAGGAACCAAATGGCGGAACAATTATCATGTGCCTCCAAATGTGCCTTGCTACCTACTATATGAAGAAAATCAAGGCCTCTGACTTTACACACCAATCCTACAAGATGAATGAATGAATGAATGAATGAATGAATGAATGAATGAATGAATGAATGAATGAATTCTTTATTATTTCAATACAGAACATCAGTTGAATGGTACAAAAAACGATTTATGAAATATGAATCCCCAAATGGGCTATATGCCTGTGGTTGGGGATTGAGTCAATCATCCGCACAAAAAAACAATAATTTAGGCTACATTCAAAAAGGAAAATATATATATATATATTGTACACAGAATTTGTATACAAGAAAAGGATAAATAAGAAAAAACTAGTTTACAAGATAAATATATACAAAACGATACAGTATATGAAAAATTAATGCACGCATATATCACACGTTCAGTTTGCACGTTAAAAATGTAGGAAATTATCCCATTAGAAATAACACATAATTAGATATTGATAGTTAAATGAAAATGTACCTCAAGTTTTTTATTGAGTTCTTAATTTTTATTTCAACAAACATGTCTATGAGTATGGGTTGAAAAAAGTTTGTTATCCATAAATTATAATTTAAATATGCAAAAACAGTATACTTTTGTGCAAAAAAATTTGCTGGAAGATTGGAGATTTGCCAAACCTTTTTGATCATAAGTTGGTTATGGAGACTTTGAATAATCATCGGGACGGTTTAACTCACTCAATTCTTGTTTTAGAAGTATCTATGATTTTTTTATCGAATGCTAGACTTATTTCCTAAAGAGTTAACGTATCAGCTTATTGTGCACTCATCTGTGCATGATATGAACATAAACTATATAATGATAGAATAAACCATCACTATAGTATGTACTATAGTCAACACAGAGACTCGTGAGACTACGTACCTTGTTGAGGATGGCTGTGGCGAGAATGTCCTCGTAACTACGTTGTCCCAGGGACTCAGGAGAGGTTCCTGAGGGAGGACACCAACTCGCCTCTCCATTGTCTTCCTGTGGGAACATACCAAAGATATACTCAAATGTTACCATTCCCTTTTGGTCACTGAAGTAGGTACCTCATTTATGGACCAGTAAGTAACTAAATAGATCGTAATTGAATGAGCGACCTCAGTTTTATATCCAGAGCTTTGTTTTTAGATTTCCAATTTGTGGAACTAAACCTAAAATCTACCAGGAGTTTTCGGTCAAGTGTACCTATAGAGGAAGGAGCTAGGAGAAGAAAACCCCTGAATTTAAAAATTCACCAAGCTGTGTGTAGTTTTAGAAAACTCAAGGTGACTCCAATCCACTCCAATACCGTTACGTGACAGTGAAGTACAGGTAAAACACGCTTATCGGACAAATGCGTGCTTTCAGTTCTGGTACGTTGTGTCGGAAATATACTTATGACGAGCAAGAAAGAGCCTGAGCAGCAAGCACTGTGCAAAAATTCCTATAGCACAGGGCACAGGGTCTTTCTCCACTGTGAGCGTTATAGTAGATGAATGTGAAAGGGCGGTGTTGGACTTTGCCTTAGACACCAGAAACAAGTGCTAGACACATCACTTAAGTTTACCATTGAATGTTATATATGAGCCCTACTTTTCTGAGGGTGCGCTATAAGCTTTGAATAACACTTGAAGTTCTTCCAACACCCAATAAAAACGATATTTATTTTTATCAACTTAGTAACTTTTTACAATTTAAAAGATAGCCTACATATTTACTTATAGAAATATCAATTTTTCCCTCCTCTGAGCTAACCATTTTATTTCCCCATTTTTGTGTAAGAACATTGAATGATCTCCAAAAATATTAATCTTATGAGCAATTATTAAAAAAATACAAGTTAATTCAGACACATGAAACCTAGTAGCTTACTGTAAATAAGAATACAGTATTATGTATCAAATAACAACAATGCTGAATGCAACACTCTGGACTACACGGCCAAACATCATTTTGTCCAATTTCACGCCTACTCTAGCAACAGGCGAGTTAATGTGGAAAGGCAATGTAACTCCATTCACGGTGAATTCACATGTTTACACCAGTTCACAGTAGGTCCAGAACGTGAAGCACAGTTCACAGTTGTGCTCTACTGATCTCATGGGAACACTGCATTGTTTAGAAACACCATGAAATGCTCTACGCGGTGCAATAGTCCAATCATCTAGTGTTTGTGCACTATGAAGGATAAAATGTCCTACATCCATTTATTCATAATACAGAGAACAAAACAGTTATTTTTCCATCAATGGATGCTTAAACAGTATTCCACTTGCAAGAAAAGCCAAGTACTCGATGAGGAGATTTTGTTGTTTTTTGTGTGGTTTTTTTGTATTTTTTGTGGTTTTTTCTAAGGAATAGAGCTCAATTTAGCTTACCTAAGAAAACCCTTGTTCCAGGTAGGCCTACTAAGTATATGGAAAATAAAAGGTCTTAAACCATAACAATAATATTTTGTCCAATAGGAATTGGAAAAGGAAGAAAGCATGAGAATAGAAGAAAAAAAAGATAATAGCATGAAAGCAGAAGATAGAAAAATGTCATTATATTAAACTTAAAATATTAACGTTATTCTCTGCACACTTATATTTTATTTATGAAATAATTTGGATTCTTTTGTTCCTGAAATTTGATTAGTAGGTACCGGTAAACTTCCAAGCAATAATAAGTGGGAAAGTTCCAATTAGAAGGTGGATAATCAATGGCATTTCTGCACAGTGCATACCTAAGGCCTACTTCAAGCTTAAGTGCAAGATTCAAAATCTAAATTAAGTTATTTTAAAGGACTCTGGTAATCAAAGGCAAATGAATGGTGAAACCTTGATCAGCGGAAACAGAAAAATTATCAAAATGTGTTGATTGTTAGACGAGAGGGATTTATTATTTGTTCTTTTCCATCTCCATTCTCTCACTCACCGACAACGGAGGGTGTGTTCTGGCCTCCTGTATCATCTGCTTCATGAGATCTTTCAACTCGGCGTGAAGGTCACAAGCAGTCTCCGCATCTTTTGGCACGGCATCTGTCACATGATACAACAACACATCAGAGTCAATGGAATGATAAAGAAAGTTTAGTGTGTAGTCTTGTGGTTAGTGCAGACTCCATTTTGTACTAGTTTGGACTAGTTTCCTTAGATATTTTCTCATAGTAAATGCCACTGGCATAGACGGTGAAAAAACTTTAACAATATTTGGACAGTATGAATTGGGTATGTATTTTAACCCAAATATGAATGAATGAGTATAGAATTAAGTGAGATGGCTTGTGTATATTTGTTAGGTACAGTACCGGTACTGACTAAGATCAGCTGTTTCATTAACCACTAACCAGGACCATTTCGCTCCATTTGTTGGAATGGAAGCCCAATGATTAAGAACTATTGGGTCCAGTTTCGAACCATCAAAAAGATACTTACTAATTTTTCCCAGGATCAAACCAGCCACCTTTTGATTATTAGGCAAGCCCCAACCACTCAGCTACCCTGCTATACCAAAAACTACCCATGCAAGTACTCTCCCCTAAAAGCATTCTAAATTTGTCTGCCTATGATAAAATACTGGCAATAGTTGATGAAAATCATAAAACAAAATTGATTATCAATGGATAAATATTTTCTCTCCGTAAACTCACCAGATAAAGCCATCTTGAGGTTAGCGTACAGTCTTCGCAGCGCTTGGACTAGAGGGTTCTGGTACTTTTCACAGAAGTTTATGTCTGCATGCAGGTACAAAGCGGTATACAGGCTATTATGTACATAAATACACCAATATCATAATGTTAGTATGGGGGAAGGTTTCATCTTGAAAATGTAATTTACATCACATCCCAATTAATGTTTCCAACCAAAACCACATGGGAACCCAACAATAAGGTAATCACATAGACCTTGGATGCTGAAGTAGACTTTTTAAATTGTAGCTATTTTTGTACTCAAAGAGAACATATGGTTGACCCTTAAGAGAGTTGAGCTGAGAGAGTTTACAATTGTTTGTAAACTCTATTCTCTCTTCACTTGACAAAATCCCCCAAATTTCTGGGCACAAAATATTGTGTGATAGGTGTCCCCTCTGTATGTTTTATGGTCTACCTGTACTTCTTTAAGGTAAGCTAGCTGCTATCCTTATTCTACAATTCAATCAAAGTTAAACATATTTTTTATTTTCAAACACAATCATTGACTTCTTAGGAGTTTTGAGGCCGTTTCCAACACATAAAAGTAGTTATTTTCATCCCATCAAATCAATAATGTAATTTTCCACTTCATGCATCAATAGTAGACATGCATACAAAGCCGATGACCCGTTTAAGCAGCAACAATAGCAAATCTGCTGTAATATTACCGTGAAATCAAATATTCAGTATGCAAATTCTGATTGAAGTAATGAAACCTTTGATTAGCTCACAGATCCTACAGAAAATAGTTGTTTCAATCAGTAAAGTAATGAATCCAATAAAGTTTTTTATGGTAGCTGTACAAAAAAAAATTATTTTAAAAATGATTGTCGTAAGAGCATCTTGGCAAAGAGAATACTGTTAAGATTATTTTAAATGTATGACTGATCTCTACACTGATAAAATGTTGTCCCACAAACCTTAACCAGAAACCAGAAATGCTAATGAATTGCCAAGACTACACACAGAGAATTAAGGTACAGAGGAAACAGACTTATGGGACAATCTTGCGCTTTCAGCTCTGGTATGTTGTGCCGGAAATTATTCTTGGTGACAGGCCAGGAAGAGCCTGATCAATATCTTTACATCCCCCAGAACGCAAAATCTTGAAATCCCCCCTACCCTCCGGTTAGGTAGTTTTTAGCGCTAGTCGCTGGTGCCAAGGACAAAGTCAAATACCACCCCCTCGCTCTCATGTACTACAACGCTCACAGTGGAGGAAGACCCAGAGCCCTCTGCGATAGGAATTACACATTGCTCGTTTCTCTGGCTCTGCTTTGACCATCACAGGTCTATTTCAGGCACAAAATACTAGAGGTGAAAGAACACGGTTGTCCCATAAATGAGTATCTTCTGTATCTTACTTCTCTATGCTGGGCCTGGCCTGAGCCTAAAACCATTGGCCAGTCCTCAGGTAGAAGAAGCTCAGGGGTCAGGGTCAGGTTCTATGGTACAGACTATATCCTACAGAACAAGCAAACACTCATCTTAGTCTTTTTGTACCAGCTAGATGGTCAGAAAAAGAATACTACAATAGCAAATAGGAAGAAGTAAAAAGAATTGTTTGTAAAAAAATGTTTTGCAAATCTACCTGGCAACCATGTACAACATTTGTTAGAACAGTTAGAAGTATATTAGGTTCGCCTTTATGATCATTGATAGTACTTACAGTGGGGGTGGTCACAGAGAGGGTACAACGCCACGTCGTCCAAACCAGCTCCAATTATTCCTTCTACAAGTCTTTCCATGAACTCTTGCACCTCACTGTCATTCTCTGAAAAAACGAGAAAGAGGATAACTACAAACTCTTAGAGTATCAACCGCCAATGTTGAAGACAATACTACAAGCTTCTATAAACAACTACCTATGTGAGTGTAACCCAACAACCTCCCCCCCCCCTTTATTTCACAAACCTTGAATTTTTACTTGATGGATAGAGTGGATAGGTACTCCACCTCTGTGATGGCGTTTGAACATCTCCTCATATGGGAATAGGTTCATACTTCCTTCATGCTATCGGCTATCTGATCTATAAACGTTATCGCTCAAAATAGAAATCATAACACACAAAGAGTTGTTGATCATTGTTGGAACACCTTTGAAACACTGAGAGTATGGACTCACAGTGATACAGAAGACAGCTATGTTACTACCAATGACTTCAAGCAATAAATGCTTAGCCTTCAATGTAGGGTAAACATGTGAACTGGTTGAAGCGTCTGAGTTTAGCTAATGATTTAAGTTTAAAGTGTCCATTGCCATTGTTTGTGTTGCTAGTTGTTAGCGTCTCGGACTTTGGTGCGGGAAACGGACAGAGGAGCGCAAGTCGTAAAACTGTCAACCCCTCGGCCGAAGAATTCGTCGGGGGTAGGACCAAGGAGCGCAGATGTGCTTGCGCTCCTCGGTCCGACCCGGGCAAGAAACTAATCCCCTACTTACGAGGGTTGAACAAGACAATGCTTGCGAGTAAATCCCATTAGTCGCGCTTCACTGACTACACCATTGATTTGGGCATATTTTTCCAGCGCAACTTATTACCAAACTAATGTTGTATCAACAAATTACCAAACCGTACACTTTCACTTTCGAATTTAAATTGCAATATAAAAGCTGATCCTTCAGCTGAATGTTGAACCACATTGAGATTTTGTTTATAAAACTGTTAATAAAAATGTATGTAAAATATGCTACGTTTTGATAATTGCGATTTGGATAAGGTAGGCGACTTGTGTCTTCATGGTGTGGATCTAAAATCAATCAATGGAATTGATTGTAAATTAGTAAGTTTATTCAATTTTAATAACAGCTTTAAACAAACGTAATCTTTGAAAAGAAAAGGGTATTGCATCGTTAGTTTTACCTTCAAAAATGTGTTGAACCCTATTAAAATTAGTAAATTTGCAATGGGTCCCCTCGTTATTAAATACTAGCAGAACACCCGTCCTTCGTACGGGATTGGCATATATGTATAAAATGCTTATTGCAGTTATACTCAAGCTTTGCGTTTGCAATGGGGGGAGGACACAGTTTGATAAAATTTGGTTCATAAATTTACGGTAAGATATAGTATAACACATCTACCATTGCCATAATTTTCTACCACTGCACCTAAACAATAGAAAAAAATATTATCAAACATTCGCACAATATCACAAATTATTCATTAAATTAACAATAGTCGGAGAAATATAGGATATGACCTTAAAAAAATTGCAAGAAAACGTTTTATGGTTTTATTTTGTAGAGTTGGGTTTGCAGAATGACATACTAAAATTTGCCAAAAATCGGTGCACGAGAAAACCACTAAAATCACAATTTAAAATGGCGGCTTTTTCCAACATTGGTCAAATTAAAAAAACATATTTCACATGCATTTGTTATGCACATTTTTTAGATATTGACTTGGGACCACCGCCTGTATTTATTGGGTGGTTAGTACTTCATTTTGATAGGGAACATGTTTTTGGCCGCCATCTTGGATCCGCCATATTGGACATAGATAATTTTTTTTCAATGTAATGATAGTGTTGTGACACATCATTATCAACTACATTTTTACACTGATTCCAATGCCGAAATCCGTTTTTAAATATCTTTACTCATTTAGAAGATATATTCAAACGAAAACTCTCCACCATACATTTCTTATGGACGTTTCGTAGTTTGATAATTGTTTTAAAATTATTTTTCTTATATCTCCAGTTCTTATTGACGCTTGTAGTTCGTTCTAGGCTTAAAATATTCAGTAATGTAAGGGCTTTCATTTGAGCTCTTGATCATTAAAATCAGACGAGTTAAAGACCAGTTAAACATTACAGTTAAACATTACAGCATACTTACAGTTTACCGTAGCCCATCCATGAATATTGATTTGTTTTTAAATGATCTAGAAACCTACTGCATTACTACCAACAATTCAAATACTCACATTTTCATGGGTGATATAAACATTGACATTTTACCAGAGTCAAAACAAACCAATCTTAAAGAGGTTTACTTAAATATAATGTATTCAGCGGGTTTTATTGAATTAATAAATAAACCTACAAGAGAAGTTAACAACTCTAAAACTTGCATTGATCACATTTTTGTCAAACACTATGACTGTAACAAGCTGACTTCGTGTGTACTTACAACTGACATAACTGATCATTACACTCTTATAGCAAAAATTGAACTTGACAACATTACAGCTCAACCCGAAACCTGCAACATGTACTTGGACTCGGGTGTTCTGAGTGGCTTGATGGCGGTCCAGTCGTGGGATCACGTCCTTGCACATCAGGATGTTAATGATTGTTGTGACGCATTTTTAAACACATTTTCTAGTTTAAAACTTAAAGCTATGCGTGTAATAAAACCCACCTCTAGATTTAAGAAATTAAAGCCATGGATAAACACAGAGTTAATATTTGCTATTAGAAAACGAGATAAAATGAGTAAACTGGTTAAAGCCCGACCTTTTGATGAGCAATTAAAATTTCAATTTCAAGCTTTTAGAAACCAGTTATCAAATAAAATCAAAACTACAAAACAAAACTTTTACAGAGAAAAAATAACAGCCTCTGTTGACAACCCCAGATTATTTTGGAAACATATAAATGAATTTAATGGAGCAAATATAAAGAGATGCAATTTTCCTGTTTCACTTTTCCAGCAACCGTCAGACTCAAGTGGAGGGGGTTTGGGGGCGGTGGCTAACTCGTTTAATGAATTTTTCTCTAGTGTTGGTAATAGGTTGGCGAGCGAGTTGCCACCGCCCGTGGGTCCGCCACTGGTCGACGATGCTTTGTTCAGTGTAGGACAGGGGCGTGAACTGCGACTGGAGCCTGTCTCTGACAGTCAGTTGGCTGAGTGTGTGAGGGAAATGCGAGGCGGTTCTGCTCCCGGGTTCGATGAATTTCCAGCCAAAATACTAAAAAATCATCTGCAAGACATTTTACTACCTCTCAAACATCTTATTAACTTGAGTATTACTTCAGGCATTTTTCCAAACAGATTTAAAATAGCTAAGGTAATTCCTCTTTATAAGTCCGGGCAAAAAAATGACAAAAATAATTATAGACCAATCTCATTGTTAAGTGTATTATCTAAAGTGTTAGAGAAATGTGTCAAAATTCAACTCCAAAATTATTTGGATGAACATGGAATTTTATCAGAACAACAGTTTGGGTTTAGAAAAGGTAAAAATACTACTGATGCACTATTTCTTATCAATAAAACATTAATCGAGTCAGTGAATAGAAATGAAAAAATACTAATTGCATTCATAGATCTTGCTAAAGCGTTTGACTCTATTGATAGGAAAATTCTTTTCAAAAAGTTAGAATATTTGGGAGTAAGGGGTTTAGCCCTGGCATGGTTTAAAAGTTATTTAAGCAATAGGACTCAAGTAGTATCAATTAATAACGTAATTAGTGATCAAATGAATGTAGATTTTGGAATTATTCAAGGTTCTACAATGGGGCCCTTATTATTTTTAATTTACATAAATAACATAGATAAAATTGATATTTCTGGAAAAATATTCTTGTTTGCAGATGACACAGCAGTAATCTTTAGGGCACGTACTTGGGAAGAGGTTTTTAATATTGCATCATCAGAATTACAAATTTTAAAAAGATGGTTCTCAGAAAATATTTTAACAATGAATGTCAGTAAAACAAAATGTTTGCCTATCGCACTTCGTCCCGCTAGCGAGCCGCCCGCCGAACTCAGACTAACCTTGCACTCATGTGGCACCGCAGGCAGCGATTGCAACTGCCAAATTATTGAAACTGTGTCGCAGTATAAATACCTGGGCATTATAATGGATTCTAAATTGAAATGGGAAAGCCATATAATTTTTTTAAAAACAAAGCTTAGAAAAATGATTTATGTTTTTTATCAATTGGGTCAAATTTTACGACATGACGAAATTAAAAGAATTTACTACGCATACGTTCAATCTCATCTGCAGTATGGTTTAATAGCTTGGGGAGGGGCTTATTCATCGGTAATTGAACCTTTGTTCGTAATTCAAAAATCAATAATTAGAGCTGCGTTAAGAAAACCGAGACGTTATTCTACTGATCATTTGTTCAAAGAATCTCAGCTTTTATCAATAAGGCAGCTATATGTTAAAGATTTATTAGCTTATTCATACATTCATTTGGACCTTATCGCCTTGCCCGTAGTTCATAACTATCATACCAGAAACTCAGTGATGATAGGATTACGGGTACCAAGAGTTCTCAAATCAATCAATTTAACAAATTCCTTTTACATTGCTAATTGCTTGTTGCGTAATATTCCTTCAGAAATTAGGGACCTGCGAGTGTCACTGAGTGTATATAAGAGGGTTATCGCTAATTGGCTGATGGAGATAGGCCTTGACAATACAGAGTCGCTTATCAGCCCAGAATATCTCGTTTAGACCTAACCAACTGATAACTGGACTATCTATTGTACCTTCTACAGCACTCTTTACTTGACGGAATCTACGCCTCAGTAAAATTGGGAATTGAAAAAAAAAGTTATTGAGTTGCACATTGTGTATGGTTATTAGGTTGTTATAATTATAATTGTATATTAAATTAAATTGTATGCTTATTTTACCAAGTAATTGTTTTTTTTTTATTCTTTTTTTTATGTGTAGTGAAGTGTGAAGAACTTTTATTTTGATGAAGCAGCCAGTAAGGACTCTATCACGCACAGGTCATTGTGACCCATGTGATATTTTTATTTCTTAATGTATTTGCTGCAAAATAATGTGTATAAATAAAGAATTTCTC